TGAAACATTATTCCATGAAACAGCAGATTGAGAAATGCGTTTGTCAATTGTTAAAAAAATGAAGATTTTTATGGCAAGGACTGCGATAACGCCAACACTATCTATAAAGCCTCACTAATTTGAAGTTAAAAACACCAGTGAAGGGGGGACAGAAGGGCCTGATAGGTGACTGGATGTCCTGGTTTGTTTCTCTCATACAGGTGGTCGGGCCATCTTCACTTAGGGGGATCCTTGGGATTAATTGTTTCTTGAGTCCAAGGAGCCCGAATGCCCTAATTTCATGAATATTTTCATGTTTAAGTAAAGGATAACAATCATAGTTACAGTTAACATTTATTGCTTCCAATGAATGTGCTACAGTATCATTTTGAGCACTTTATATTATAAAATTCTCACAATAAACCATGAGACAGGCAGTTTTATTATCCATTTTCACAAAAAAGGAAACTGAGGCACAGGTGATTCCATCACTTGGCCAAGGCTATACAGCTAGTAAGTGGAAGAGCTAGGATTTAAACCCAGACAGTCTGGCTCCAACATCAACTCCTGTGCTCAACTACCTTTGGAATTACAGCATATGTTAGCAAACTTCCACATTACCAGTGTAATTCATACCACAAAGCAATTCACTGTACCTTCTAGTCGGGTTGAGCCTAGGTAAGTAGCCTTCAGAGCTTAGGAACCATAAATAATACCCAGACCTTGTGCTAACACATCTTGAAAAGCTTCTCTAAGCTTTTCAATTGTACCAGAAGTAAAATACAAATAGGACAGCATGTACCATTGCCAAAACAATCTCCCCTTTGTATAGTTTCTTCTTCTCACCAATTTGTTACTATATGCAATACTGACTTTAAGTAAACAAACAAGAAGCTACAAACAATACACCCACCCTCTTTTAATTACAGCACTATAACAAGGCCACTTTGTTAAAATGGTTCATCTCTCAAATATTTTTCTTACCAAAAATGATCCACAAATACATACATACTCATGTTTCCCCCTAAAACTCTAATCCTTTTTGTATGTTGTGAGTGGAGTGCAGAGAATAAAGCTCCCACCGAGTGCTTTTGGCCTTCAGATTTGGTGCTCATTACTGTGTAGACATTCTCAGCCAGGGCGCGACAACAGCCATTCAGAACTGTGTTTTCTGCAATGTTTAGTGTTTATTCCACAACGTTTTTTTTTTTTTTTTTTTTTTTGGTTACTGTTATTTTACATGTTGGTATATTAATTTTCCATTGCTGTTGTAACAAATTATCACCAATGAAGTGGCTTAAAACAACACTCATGTATCATCTCACAGTTCCGCAGGTCAAAAGTCCAAGTATGGCACAGCTCAGCTGGTTCTCCGTTTAGAGTTGTACAAAGCTGACATCAAGGTGTCGGCAGAGCTGTGTTCCATTCTGGAAGTTCTGGAGCTAAATCTGCTTCCAATCTCATACATGATTGTTGGCTGAATTCAGTCTGATGTGGCTGTAAGCCTGAGGTCCCTGTCTCCTTGCCAGCTCACAGCTGGGGGCTGCCCACGGTTCCTAGAGGTTTCTCTCTGGTTCCTAATGTGGCCACTACGTGTCAGAGCCAGCAAAGCATGTTTGATCCTTCTCATGCTTGGAGTCTCTCTTTCTCTCACATCTCTTTTGCTTCTAGCCTGAGAAAGTTCTCTCTTTTTTTCTTTTTTTTTTTTTGATGGAGTCTTGCTCTGTCACCAGGCTGGAGTGCAGTGTTGCAATCTTGGCTCACTGCAACCTCCATCTCCCGGGTTCAAGCGATTCTCCTGCCTCAGCCTCTGGAGTAACTGGGACTACAGGCACGCGCCACCACGCCCAGCTAATTTTTGTATTTTTAGTAGAGATGGGGTTTTACCATGTTGGCCAGGCTGGTCTTGAACTCCTGACTTCAGGCGATCCGCCTGCTTAGGCCTCCCAAAGTGCTGGGATTACAGGCGTAAGCCATGGTGCCAGGCCAGTTCTCTGTTTTTAAAGGGCTCATGTGATTAGGTTGGGCCCCCTCAGATAATCCAGAATAATCTCCCTATTGTAAGTTTCATAACCTTAATTTCATCTGCCAAATCCCTTCTGCTATGTGATGTAACAAATTCATAGTGTTTAGGGTGCAGATATATTAGGGGACCATTCTGGGTACCACTTCAGGTGAATATTTCTGTGCCAAGATGGCTAACAGTGGTGAATGATAATGCTAAATCTGCCCCAAAACAACAAACAACAACAACAACAACAACAACAAAACCAAAAGAAGAATTTCACAGTTAGACATTACATTTAAAATTTTACCCATTTCCAGAAGCCTTTAAGGTCCAAGAAACAGGATGAAGATCAGAAGTGAGTTAGGGACTAGTAGCAGAAGGTCTTTGATACTATAAGGAGCATAATGAATTGCTCTCGACCAGCATTTGTGCAAGTGGTAGCTGGAAGAAACCACTGCCAGAAACAGGGTGACTTCAGGGGGCTTAAAGAGAATACAGGAATAACAGCAAATGTCTACTCCCAGGAATGCATTTCTATAACCTGAAATAATACTAAAAAAAAAAAAAAAAATCTTTTTTTTTTTTTGACATGGAAGAACACTAGTGTCAGTTGTTAACTCTCTAGTGGTGGGATCTTAGGGAGGCCCTGGGATCTTGGAGAGAGGCAGGGGCATCCAGGGAGCTGGGGCACTCCAAGGAGGGGCTCTTTACCAATGGGTCTGGAAGCACATAAATATCTTAACAATGGGTAAGGGATGCAGTAACATTTACAACACTAAATATTGGAATTGTAATCCAATAACATGAATGAGAGTCAACATGCTCACTTACAGGGAGCAACACAATAGCAAAAATACTTTTGAATTTCAACATTTCATAATGTACTGATAGATTGTTATTTATTAAGCAATTCCACAAATACTGAACATTTTGATTCATTTCACTTTTTGTATTAATATAGGTCATCTTCAAGTAGAGAAATGCAGTATTAAGAAAATTGGGAAAAATGCCAGAAGTGATATCAGAAGGAACACATCACCCACCTGAGAGTTTAACCCAATTTGCCTTTGTATCACTTTCTTAATTCTCCTAAAGTGTCACTTTTGTTCTTTGCTGCCTGCCTTAAGGGGATTGTAATTTAGCTACTTCATTTTATGTCTTTATAATTCTTTCTTATCTCATTCATCTCCCTTTCCATTTCGTCTTTGGTTTTTCACTTTGAATAGCCTTTCGTACATTTATTTTTTAGGTCTTTAGAGACCATTTCTTTCTAGTCAAAGGTAGGGTAAAATGAAGCATAATTTTAGTCATACTTAATTAGACTTTTAAATCTGATGGTACACTCTGCCTGAAGCTTTTCAGGGGGAATTTCTGAGGTCCAATTACAGGGCTAGTCTCATAATAAGAACTAATAATTCATAATGAAATTATTTGCTTTTAAACCTCATCCAGATGCTGTTGTGAAAAATATACTAACCCAACCGCATTCCTATAGGGTCATTAACATGGCCAGTACAAACAGGTGAGGTCTGCTGAAGTCATAGTTCTCAGAGCTTCTGTAAAGAGTTGGATGTTGGTTCTGTGACAGTATCCACTACAGGGCAACCCTTTCATACCAGTCCTTTCATAGTATGGCATCCTGTTCTTGATGTATGGATTTTGATATCCTTCTCAGTTAGCTCAAGTAAATGCCCAATGTGCATTTACCAAATATACAAATAGAAACTGAATCCTTGCATCACTAAACTTTGGTTCCCTTCACTTATTAAGACAACTTAGCAGAAAATAAAGTTCTTGGGTTATAGACTCTGCCCCTAACAAAGCTGTAGAATTTTCTCTATTCTCCTCTGGCTTCAGTTCAACAAGAGAGAAGTCTGAGGCCAGCTTGATTTTCTTTCCTTTTTGTATAGCTTTAAAACAAATGTATTTGATCCTTGTAGGCTCTTTTCTTTCTCCCTGAAATGCAAACATTTTCCCAAAGGTACTCCATGTCAAATCTTTGGAGTGAATTCCATGGGTTGTCTCCCCTTTCGCCTTGTAGCACAACACTGATATTCTTCAATCTACCATTTATCTGATAAGCAAATTCCTTTGTTCTGGTCTCAGTCACTGGTTCCACTGTAGGCCCACATCACAAGCAGTCCTAAGAACGCATCTCAGGGCTCCTGTTTGAAATCCTGACACAGAAGAACGTGCTCTTTATCTGAGGATCCTGCAGGGCAGATGTGAAACTTGGAACTACTGTAACCTCTTTGCCATGAGTGAAAACAGTCTTTGAAGATGCCAAGACATAGAAAAGGGAATCTTAGAGAAACGGAGCTGCAGGTTCTGGATTAAGCCAACTCTGATGCTCACCTATCTCTGGAATCACCATTTATGTGAGTCAACAAGTTTTTTATTCTTTAGTGGATCCAGAATGAGTTTTCTGTATTCATTGAGAAACCTGAGCATCTCATCTACTAATGTCTCTTTTCAACAATTTTCCCCCAAATATTGCAAGATCTTTTAATTTGTGTACTTAAGCTTTTCCTCAGTTTAGGAACATGTTTCTTTAATTATGACTTTTCTTACTGCATTTTAAGACCATCAATTTCCTTTCTCTTTTCTTTTTTAGAGACAGGGTCTCACCATGTTGTCCAGGGTGGTTTCAAACTCCTGGGTTTAAGCAATCCCCCTGCCTTGACCTCCCAAAATGCTGGGATCACAGGCATGAGCCACCACACCTGGCCTCAAGATCATCAATTTCTTAGGCCAGATTTCTATTCTTTATCCTTCATGTTTGTCACTTTCTCACCATTTTATAAACCTTTTGTTCTTTTTTCTCAGTATTTTGTGACAACTTTCAATATCATCCTTTATGTCAATTGGTTCCATTTCCTACAGCATTAATTCTATGTTTTACTGCTTCCTATCAGATTTTAACTGTGCTATATACTCAGTTTCCTTACAATTCCACTTATCATTCGTCTCTCCATCTCAGATTGCTTTTTTCACATTTTAGAGTGTTCAATTCTTGTGGCTTTTTTTTTTTTCTGTTTTAGAGAGTATGTTTTCTAGCATTCTTCTGAGTCTACTGACTTTTAGAAATTTTCTTCTGATTTAGGTAATCATTTTCAGAATTTTTACTTTGGTTTTTTGAGTCTTTTGGATAATGTTACTTTACCCTATCTAGTGGTATTTTTTCAAAAGTTACAATAATTTTTTTTCTTTTAGATAGTTGTTTTTTTCATTTTCTAAGGGGAGCAATCTAACCAGAAAATTTGTAGTCAATGCAATGTAGACATTACTTTGAACTTATTCTGTAAATATTTAATGGTCTCTTAGTAGCTTAGATGTTAATATCTAGCATGTTTCATCTAATATTATTCTTATGTCTCTGTCCCCACTTACTAAATATCCCATTCTTCTCACTTCCAAACCCCTAGTTCCTTTTTGCATGTATTGCTTTCTGGTATTTGAAGCCTCCTACCCGACACAGCAAAAGATGTAATACTGTGGAGTAGGTAAGACAACAGCACTCTGTAGCTCTCAACAGGAAGGGTAGTGGGAAGAGCTGGCCATTTTCTGAACTGAAGTCAACCTTGTGTTTCTGAAACAAGGGGAGTTGAGGGAGGGGAATAAAGATCTACCTATTTCCAGGTGCACATAACAAACCTTTGTCACCAAATGTGTGTGTGTGTGTGTGTCATATATATCCATATATATATATACGTGGTGACAAACCTGTGTCACCAAGTGTGTGTGTGTGTGTGTGTGTGTGTGTGTGTGTGTGTATATATAATTTTTTTTTTTTTTTTTTTTTTTTTTTTCTGAGACAGAAAAAAGTCTGTCAGAAAAAATCCCAGGCTGGAATGCAATGGCGCAATCATGGCTCACCGCAGACTCAATCTCCCAGGTTCAAGCAATTCTCCCACCTCAGCCTCCCAAAGAGGTGGGGCTACAGGCATGTGCCACCATGCCTGGATCTTTTTTTTTTTTTTTTTTTTTTTTTTTGTAGAGACAGGGTCTCCCTATGTTGCCTAGGCTGGTCTCAAACTCCTGGACTCAAGCAATCTGTCCACCTTGGTCTCCCAAAGTGCTGGGATTATAGGTGTGAGCCATTGCACCTGGCCACCAAATGGATTTTTCAATCCAGTTCTGGCTGAATGAAAACTCTTCCTATAATTTTGATAATGATTTCACTGCCAGTCTTAGTTTTTTAAATGCTGGATGTTTTGGGGGGCCAGTAGGTATCATTTTAAACTAAAAGCTCCTAATATTTTAAATAAATTTTTATTGAGGGTTTACAGAGGTAAATGCAAAAATAAGCTGTTAATATGCAATCTGTAAAAAAGGTATTAGGTTAGAGAAAAAAATGAAACATGTCTAAGTACTAAGTTCAGTGCTGTTTTTAATCAGGGCTGTATGCCACCTAACAGAGTGCCTTTGAAAAAAGTTTACTGCATGCTGATGCCTAGAGAATTCAATATGGCTCTGATAAGCAAAACAGATAAAGCAATTGGCTTCCAAATTACTTCTGAATATTGAAATATTAGCATGTCAAATTATTACAAATTAAATGGTTGGGCAACACAGTGCAAACACATTTGGCAGGCTCTTGTTGCCCGACTTTAAAAGTATTGGATCTCCTTCCAAGTTTTAGACTGCGAATGTCCAGCAAACTCTGTGCCAGTGATAAGAGAAGAGTTGGTAGTATCCAGCTCAGTTCATGGTAAAATCTAATCTCCGCTAGAAATCTGCCATCTTGAATTGTCCCTTGCAATCTTTCAATTAGCAAGTAAGTACAATTCATATGTCTACAGTTGTCTCTGTCACATCTTTCTTTCTCCTGTTATAAAAGTGCATGTATGTGCATGTGCACATATGCACACGCTCCTAAGCAGCCAACAACTCTTAAACAATCCTATCTATGAGTAAATTCTAATACCTGTAAATTTAATTTGGCAAGCAAAACTGGAGCAATAAATTGCAAACCCAATACTATCATGTATTTCCAGAGAAGGTTAATGAGAAAGACCATGCTGAATGCTCTGTATTTCCTATGGTTAAAGTGGGAGGCAGAGAAGGACAAAGGGAGAGAGGGAAAGAGAAGGAAGAGAAGGAGGAGAAGAGGAGTGTGGAGGGAGGGAAGAAGAGAAAGAAGATAAATGGAAGGAATAAAAGAAGCTAGGTAACATCTTTTATTTCTATAGGAATATACCCAAACCAAGTGTTAAACCAAGTGCTGGGTCTTATCAGACACCAACTCCTTCAGCCACCACAGGAACACCAGATGGGAGGTAGACCCTCAGTACAAAACAATAGAGCAAGGGTATCAGACAGCCACAGACCACTCCACAGCAAGGGCCCATATGGAGTTACCTGGATTGTCACTACCACCTATCATTTCAGTACAAGATCTAGTAGAATCTTTTGATATATCTTACTATTTTTTGTAATTTAGCACCTCGGTTGTGTTTGGTGAGCAATTATGTAGGCATACAATAAAATCCCAGCAATCTACATTTACCTGAAATTATTTACTATATTTATTATTGTCTAGTAAATTTGCATAAACACTATAAAACAAATGTAAATGTTACACCACGCTTTAAAGGAATTACCAAGGCCAGACTCAACCCAGATTGGAGGTCCAAGCCCCAGGTAGAATAATTTTGTGCAGGTGTGGTTCTTTTTATTTTGTAGGACTATGAAGTACCTCCTGCTCATGAGAAAAATGAGATGGTAAGTTTGCCACTGACTAAAGATTAGACTGGTAAGAACTGACTTTCCATCCAGGACACAAAAGGATTCTCTAACTTTCCTTTAGAGTTGGTCATAAAACTTTCATTCCAGAGGTGCCCATCCTACACCTGAAGGAAAGGAGCCTTCTTATCTCTGAAGACCCGGGGACACAGAATGCTTCTGAACAAGCAGGCCTTGCCAGGTTTCCTCCAGTTTATAACCATTAGATCATGCACTTGGTCTTCTGGTCATACTTCTGCATGACTGTCCATAAAAATGCACAGTTGTCTCTGTTTCTTTGGGTCTTCATTTCTGAAGGCCCCCATGTCGCATAAAACATATTAAATAAATTTGTGTGTTTTTCTCTTAAAAAAAAAAAGAATTGGCTTTCAATGTATAAAATAGTGACTGTCTCTGTGTTTTATAATCAAGAGTGGGTGGCTTCTTGCCTCAAGCTGATATTTTCATCTGACTCAGTGGTTGAAAGATGTGACCAGGTAGACCTGAGACTTTATGACCAGGTAGACTTGAAACTACTAGTTTGATTATTTTCCTACTGTAAGTGGCTGATGGAAAAGCTTCTAGAGTTATTCCAAGGAGTAGACCTAGAAGGCATCCAAAGTAATGATGCATGAGCGCTGGTGACTAAGAAAGAAAAACGACATGAAGGACCCAAATTCTGCCTGCAAGGAATATCAGAACTCAACATACAATATACTTCAAGCCTAGGCACTTATGAAATTCTGTAGAATAATCTTTGAACTGCCCGTGCATTGGAAAAAAACTGGTCTGAAAAACCGCTTGGGACGTGATCAGAGATAATTTTTTTTTTAACTGACAAAATGAGGTTGATTCCTTCCCTATCGCTACCCAACTGATAAAAAGGAAACCCACAGTGAATTTTACAGTTGAAAGATGTCTCTTATGCATCAAATCAAGCTTAACAAAAGTTTTATAAAATTACCATATTCACTTATGTTTTCCACTTATTTTTGACACAGTCTCACTCTGTTACCCAGCCTGGAGTGTAGTCGTGCAATCATAGCTAACTGCAGCCTCCATCTCCCAGGCTCAAGTGATCTTCCTGCCTCAGCCTCTGAGTAGTTGGGAGTACAGAAGCACATCACTATGCCCAGCTGATCTTTCTTTTAAAAATTTTTCATAGAGACAGGGTCTCACCATGTTGCCCAGACTGGTCTCGAACTCCTGAGCTCAAGTGATTCTCCTGTTTCAGAGAATCCAAAGTGCTGGGATTACAGATGTAAGGTACCATGTCCAACCTCCACTTGATATTATTTTAATGTAGTGGTAGAAGAGGTAGCAAGGCTTACGTAAGAGTTCTTGTCTTGCTTTACTCTTGACAACCTTTCTTCATCTTTGAGAATCTCAATCCTACCTCCCACCTCAAGCTAAAAACAGAGTTTAGTTGAAACTTTTTGCAGGGTAATTTGGTTTAGCTAGCAGAATTTAAAAAATTTGCATGTCATTTGACCCTGTAATTTCACTTCTGGAATTTACTGTACAGAAATACCTGGATGAATGCTCCATAAAATAAGCACAAAGATTTTACTGCAACACTGTTTGCGGTAAATATTGTATGTATTTTTTTGACAAAAAAACACCCTAAATGTCTATCAAGAGGAAATTAGTTAAAGTATGAAACAAATGAACTGACAGTTATTAATCTGTTTAAAAATGAGTTAAATCTCTAGGTACTGACATATTACAATAAAATAAAGTGAATAAGCAATGTACAGAAGAGTATCGGGTAAGTCCATTACTGTGAGAGAAATTTACAGATGTACATGTGTACCTATGTATTTTATGCATTTATAAATGCTCTCTCTCTCTCTCGAATTTGTAACAGGGAAGATCTGGAAGTATATTGAGGGGAATATCTTTGGGATTTTTGGAGGGGAGTGCAGGAAAGACAATGTTCACATTTTATACTTCTGTATTAACATTAGGTGTTTTTACAACCAGACTGTTATTTTCCTTTTTCGTTTAATTTTTTTTTTCAATTAAATAAAACTAACAGGCACGGAAATCTCCTACTTTGATCCTTTTTACAACAATTTTTGTTTCTTTAAGTGGCATGTGGAGTGAGAAAGATCACAGAGATAATGAGGCTCCCCCAAGTGCAAGCATTTTTAAAGTAAGGACATATTAGGGATGATCCACCAGTGTCAATAAACACTTTATACTTGCAAGTTGGAGCTCAAGCACCATTAAGTCAGGGGAAGGCCAGGCAGCTGCATCAATCTCAGCTTGGCTGGTTTGACATGCAAGGGCTCCAATGTCTATAGCCCCTACACAAACCAGAAAAGAAGACAATGTGGGACACAGAAGAATGAGACTTCAATGAGAAGGGCACTGACTTATTTTCTCCCCTCTTCCCAATAAATGGCAAGTCGTCTCTGTTTCTTCTTCAATTTATCCTTTTATTTGATGACTTAGACCTGCATTGTCCAATAAGTACATGTGGCTACTGAGCACTTGAACTGTACTGAAAAAAAAAAAGTCTGAGCTGAGATGTGCTATAAGTGTAAAACACACATTGGAGTTTGAATAGTTTAGTAAAAAGAAAGAATGTAAAAATATCTCATTCATCCATATATTTATAATCATTACATGTTGAAATGATAATATTTTGGATGTACCGTGGTAAATAAAATATATTATTAAAAGTAATTCAACTTGTTTCTTTTTCTCTCTTAAAATGTGGCTACCAGAAAACTCAAAAATACATTTGTGGCTCATATTACATTTCTCCCAGATGAGCTGGTTTATACTTTTATAGATATTCCACATGGCAATGCAAATGTTCAGAAAAAGGAACAGCAGGGTAGAGAAGTAGGCATGACACACACACACACACAGACACAGATACAGACACACACATATACACACTTTTGAATTCATAATAAGGAAGAAGTGGAAGTATACCCAGTGGGATATCTTTGGGAGTTTGGAGGGGAGTACAGGAAAGACAATATTCATGTTTTATACTTCCATATTAACATTAGCCATATTAGACATAGTAAGAGTTTCAGAAATGACCA